CACCTCCTATCATCCTTCCATTTTACAGAAAAGGAAACCGAGGCGCAGGATGTTAAGTGCCAGGATTGAAAACCACAGCCCAAGCTCTGTGCCGTCCCTGGCCACACCAGCCCCACCCACCCACAGCCCTTGCCAGGCTCTGCCACCGCCCTCCCCCTCCCCCACCCCCGTCTCCAAGGCCTCGGGCACCCAGCCCGTCAGCACCGGGACCGCGTCATTACTTCCACCACCTCCCAACAAGGTGTGCAAGCCAGGTGCCAGGCCTTCTTCCTGACATATCACCAGACCTTGGGCAATGGCAGCCCCCATCTCCTGGCCTCGGGAGGAGGGGTGCAGCACCCCCAGTGTCCTTAGGCCAAGCTCCTACGTTTGAGGAGGCACCCCAGCATCCCAAGCAAGGGTTCTGAGCTGGAGGAAGATCAAAAGAAATACAAGGTCAGTCCTGGCCTCCCAGGGCATTCTAGTTGCAGACACACCTTCAGGCCCCGTGGGGACCGTCACCACCTCACAGGAGTCCAGGCTTGGTGTGGGAAGTGGCCTCCAGGTTCAGAGGCCCCCACCAAGTCCAAACTCAGTTTTGGGTTGCCCAGTGGCCTTGGTTGGCAGTCCCCACTCCGACACGGGGCCCCTGACCCTACACCGACACTCCGCTGTCTGCTCTCAGGAAAAGGTGCTCCTTGGTTCTTGAGGGATGTCGTTTACGAGCCAGTGGACAGGTGTGCCGCAGCTGGCTCAGTCCAGCTCAGGTTTTCAGGCCAGTTTTTGAACACGGTCATTACTGACAACTGAAAACACATCACTCTGCAGTTGAACGAGGGGCAACAGAGACAAAGGGAACATCCCCGTCCACCGGTTCTAATTTGCTCCCGAGGTTACTGTGGTCGACCCTGTCAGGTGGGGCCCGTCCCTGGGGAGGACACCACGCCTGGTAAAGTGGAGGGTCAGACCGACACAGTGACTGCAACACTGGGCTCCAACACGGCACGGACTGTGAGGGGCTGCGGCCGGGGCGGCATTCCGTCTGCGTACACAGGGCTGCTATGAATCGGGGCCGCCTCGACGGCACCTAACAACATGTGTCGGTCTATCAGCCAATCGCTCGTCCATCTGAACCATCTCAAATGACATGTCTCTCTCTGACAACACCCCGATCATTCCGTTTGCTCGAGCTCGTCCGTCTCCCACGTGGGCAGGTCACTCCAGTCGTCTCACGTGTCTCATCCTCTTTGGCATCCTCTAGACAGATGACCCCACTCGCCTTCAACTACATCAGGCGCCTGTCAGCAGCTCCTCTGAGCACTGCTCCCGACTCCCGGCTCTGGTGGTGCACTGGTGAAAGCATTCAGCTGCTAATCAGAAGGCCAGGGGCTCGAACCCATCAGCTGCTTTGAGGTAGAAAGATGAAGCCGGCTGCTTCTGTAAATTTCGGGAAGGTACCGCACATCCTAGAGGCCACGTGGCTCTGTCCAGCCAACCAGACCCCCCCCCCCATGTCCCTGTCAGCCTCACCGGGTGAGCTGTCAAATGATGTCACCGACCAGGGAGGTGGAGTGACACACGTCCCCTACAGACGCTCCTGCTTGCCCTGCCCGGGCACGGCCGCCAAGTCACACAGCTCCTGAACAAGCTGCCAAGACACAGGACCTCCCAGCACCACTGCAACCATGACAAGGTCACCTGGCCCTCACAGGGAGCGAGAGAGGAGGTGGGGGCAGGGCGGGAGCAGGGAAACTCAGGGAGGGGAGGTGCAGGGGAGGAGGTGAGGGAGACACAGACAGAACAGAGAGGAAACAGACAACAGACGGGGACACACGCAGAGAAGGAGAGACATGCAAGAGACAGGAGAGCAGAGAGACACGCAGAGAGCGAGACCCCCACCCAGGAAATGCAGGAGACCGAAGGCAAGTGTCTGCCGGAGAGCAGGGCCAGCAGGGGGGCGGCGAGCAGAGCCAGGGCCAGGGAGAAGGAAGCGGCCCACCTCCCCAGACTTCTGCCCTCAGGCAGGCAGCCCAGGGCCCCAGGACACAGCACAGCTCCTCCTGTCCCCAAGTCCCATGGCCACAGGAAGGGGAGGCTACAACACTGGCCTCCAGGAGACCCTGGCTTGGCCCCCAAGACCTTCTCTCCATGGCCACACCCACCCGGGGATGGCTGGCCCTCGTGGGCACTGTGGAGAGAGAACATGAGGGCAGCACTCACCTTCCGAGACATCCCCACTGCCCCTTTTCCTACCTTGGTGACCACCCTACAGTCACTATGGTGGCCCCACATGCTCAGTCGTCCCAATGCTGGGCACCAGCCCTTTGACCGACCACAGCTCTCCTGCAGCCCTCGTCTGAATCCTGAGCGGTGGACCCGGAGCCAGCCAGGGGCGGGCAAGGAGGCCTGAAGCCAAGCCTGAAGCAACCAGACACACAGGTTCTCACAGCCGGGGCCCAAAGTGGGGATGAGGTCCGGGGACGGTGGGTCCAAAGACGCTGCCATTCCAAGTCTCTGCCTGAGCCTCGCACCCCCTCCGTCAGTACGCAGAGAAGCATCCCAAAGGCATAGAGCCCAACGAGAAGGCCAGGGTGCTCTGCACGGCCCCGGCCAGTTGCAGAGCTGGCTCTGGCACAGGGATGCCAAGGGGGGCCTGGCCCTCTCAGGGAGCCGTCAGGGGCCCAACCACCAGAGTGAGGGGCAGACCGCTTGCGGGAAGGGCCAAGGGCCCCAACATGGAGCAGATGAGGATGTCACTGCCTGGGTTCAGAATACAGACGGGGAATGGTCGCCATAAGGCACAGTCCGGTTGCTCGAGGTAGTGATGTGCTACAAAGCCCCTCCCAGAACCTGACCTCACAAGTGTGGAGCCGGCAATTCTGCCACAGTCCCCATCTCCCACCTTGCACCTTGGCACATTTACGCCCCATCTGACATTTATCTGAACGCTTGCCTTTTGGTCTAGAAAACTCCCAAACGCTCTTCCATTTCTACAATGGCACAGCCAGGACTCTGCCACTGAACAGCACCACGCCACTCACACGTCAACATAAAACAGGAACGCTCACAACTGGGCCAACAAGCAACACCACGGAGAAGAAGAGACTGAAGTTGTCAGGGATTCGTTTTACTGGGATCCACAAACGTCCGTGGAAACAGCAGTCAAGAAATCAGACGTGATATTGCACTGTGCCAACCTGCTGCAAGTGGTGAAGAATAAAGACGTCACTTTGAAGACTAAGGAGTCCTGACCCAAGCCCCGGTATTTTCAGTTACCTCACATGCACTCAAAGGCTGGACACTGAGTGAGGAAGCCCCCACAGGAGAACCGGCGCCTGGGAGCTGTGGAGCCGGCAGAGTGCACCGGACACACCATGGACCGCCAGGGGGACCACGAGCCTGTCCTGGGAGAAGAGCACCGCGGTGTTCCCTGGAAGCAGGAACGGCCAGACCTTGTGGTCAGAAGGGACCAGTCCCGGGAAAAGAGCACGCTTGGTGGAGCAGCAGGTCAGAGAAAAGGGAGAAGACCCTCAAAGGGATGGACGGACGCAGAGGCCGCGACGACGGGCTCACGCACGGCAGGGACCGTGGGGATTGCACAGGCCGGGCAACGTCTCCTTCTGTTGTACAGGGGTCGTTATAGAGTCCGAGCCAACTCGAGAGCACCTAACATCAATGCCACCAACCGTCAGTTTCACACATCTGGTGAACGGGCAAACAGTGCAGCCCAACGTGGCCACACAGACCCAGACAGAACTCTGCCTCACAGAGCAAACAGCCACCTCGGAGGACAGGTGTGACAGGATGGGGTGCTCCACCCCACGGCCACTGCAGTGTGGTGCTCAGAACACAGCGAGGGGGCGCGCCTCCGTAGCACTCCTGGGGGCAGCAGCGTGGGAGTGAGCAGGGAGCCACGTGGGGCGGCCACTGCGGGAGGGGCTACTGCACAGGGGATCCTGGGGAGGGTGGGGGGCTGGGGGACCCCAACGTCAGGGAGCAGCACCCTCAGAAAGCTCGGGGTCCTAGCATCCCAACACGCTGTTCCTGCTCTTCAGCACTGCCCCCTGGACGCCCGGACCACAGAGGCCCCAGGGAAGGAAACGGCCCAACCCTCCAGGCCAGCGTCCCACAGCAGCACTCAAGCGTCTTCTCAGTGTCCAGCCTGAGCCCCATCTACGGCAGCATGCGCCCACCTCTCCCAGGACGGCCCAGCACCTGCTCGGAGCTGACTCCCAGCAACAGATGGATCCAGCCCTGGGCTGCCGCCTCCCCTCTCCAAGTGCTCAGGAACCAAGCCCTTAAAGTGTACCACTGTCCTCTACACCTTTACATTACTTCCCGAGTGTTTTTTTAACCATCTCCCTTTTCCTCTAATTCAAGGGTCGGCAAGCTGTCTCTGTAAAGGGCTGGAGAGTAAATATTTTAGGTTTCCCAAACCATACAGTCTCTGTGGCGACCACTCAGCTCTGCCACTACAACACCAGGAAAGCGGCCTCAAACAATACGTAAATGAGTGGGCATGACGGCATGTCAATAAAACTTTATTCACAGAAACAGGCAGGGGCCGCGTTTAGATTGCTGGCCCCTGCTCTAGCCTACACATGCCTTCAGTCCCATCCTAAACAACATTGTCTTAAAAACTGCAGGTTGAAGTGCCAGCTGCTTTTTTTAAAATATGCATTAAAGGAAACATCCGATATGATTTTTTTAAAAATTGTAAGTAAGTGTGCGGCCCACCCCAGGTCACCCTGGGAACCCAGGCCCTGCTTTGGGGATACCACCGCTCACCAAGCTGAGAGTCCCCAAAGCTTTCCAGGTTGAGATGGCCACCTCTCCCCAGCTCTGTCCTTTGCAGCTTGCAGAGGCTGGGTGTGGAAGTGGTGAGGACCCCAAGGAAGGATCCCCCTAGAGCAGCCACCCAAGGGAAGCAAAGTGTGCTGGGAGCCGGCCGGCTCAGAACACACAGAACGACAGGGCCCCTCATGGCCCCTACTCAGCCTGATCCCACTCTCACCTGGCTCTTGCCGCGGCGCCGGTAGCTGCGTCTCACCAGGCTCTTGTAGTTCTCATTCTTCTTGGTCAGGTAATAGTAGAGGACACACTCAGCCACCGTCTGCCGGGAGAGGGGAAGAGCATGGAGGAGTCGGGGCGGGCGTCTGGTTGGGTGGCCTGACCCCTCCAGTCCCCAGTGTTCCCGTCTGAGATGCCTCACTGTGGTACACACGGCGCAGAGTCCTTACGAAGATCGAGGAAGTTAATACACACGCGAAGGACTGAAAACAGTGCCCGGCAGTAGACCCTGGGAAGGGCTGCCTGTTGTTTTTATTGTTCTTGGGACTGTTGTTGCTGACGTCACTGTTTCTGCCACCTCAGCCCCCGTGGGCTGGGTTCTTCTCTGCTCCGGCTCCTTTTCCCTGATGTCGGACGCCATGAACAACCCCCACTAAGCTCTGCTCATCAGAATAGACCATCTCACTCTTCATCTCTTGGGATATATATTTCTTTCCTCTGCCCCGGTCTTCTCGACACGGTCCAGGTTTGAATCCTGGTAATGCTGTCTGCTGGGCAACTGACCAGCCCTCTCTGATTGGGGGCTGCCTCCCTGTCAAAATGGGACCAAAGGGACAACACTTTCGAAAGTCATAGAAGAATTCAAGACAGTGAGGCCACCAACAGTGATGGCTCCCCGACAGTACTGATGAGGTAGACATCTCTGTAGCTCCTGGAGCTGGCGCCAAGCCAGGGTCTCATCTCTGGGGAGCTCCATGAGGTCTGTTGGGTGCAAAGGTGGCCCTCTCCCAGAGCAACTGGACCTGAGACCATCACCCCGAGATGCTCTTCAAACCCTGAGCCAAAACTATCTTGAGATCAACTTCTAACAGAAAACCAGAGGGACATGTGACATAAAGAATATAACCCATTAGACTGGTCTCTGCTAAAAACACCTGCCTTAGTCCTAAAGGTCAACATTTCATCCAAAGAAAAGGTCAGACAATATAGGGGCAAGGAAGCTAGGGCACCGGAAATGAACGACCAGGACGCAACGAGAATGCCAACCCAGTGCAAAAATGGAACTGGTCCCACTAACCACCTCACGTGCAGATTGTCAAAGGGCCTCACTTGCTGCATAAACTGTCACCAAAAACATAATAAAGTATATTATTATACTTTAATGTATTAGCCTCAACACTTCACTGTCCTGATCAAAAGCTACCAACTGCAACCTTCTAGAATGTCCCAGGGATCGAGGCTGCATCCAGGTGGCCCCTGGACGGAACCCAAAGTTGTCAAAAAATAAGACTTCAAAACCAGATGTCAGGATCTACAGATGGGACCGGGAGGCTGCCCGGCTCCTGTCTGAACTGCTCTGGGGACCTTGTTCCACAAGGTGAGGACGAGCTGGCCGAGCAGCGGCTGCCTCCTTCCGACAGGACACGGGCTTGCCGGCCACCGCACGCCTGGCCCTCATGGGGCTCTGTCACCAGGGCTGCCTCTCCACAGGCAGCCTCCTGCTGTGGACGCTTTCAGAACCTGTCTCTGCTCAGCCTCCTCTCAGCCGGAGGGCACACTTGGGTCCCTCTCAGCGTGCAGCGCTGAGCCCGGCTCCACAGCAGCATGGCGCACGACCAGTGCCACAGAGCCCCCTTCCTGCCAGGAGCCCCACCAGAGCCTAGCCAGCCTGCCGCCACGGGGCCTGCCTCTCCATGCTGGCCTTTCAGGCACGGCGAGCTGGTCCCCGCTCCCGGCTCCCTCCTTCTGTGGCTTTCAGCACGGTAGGAACAGATGTTGGGAACACCCCCTGCATCCTGCTCCCAGACTCCCCACAAAAAAGAAGGGGAGAAGTGGCTGGGGGTGGCCAGAGGGCTGCACCCAGGGTGACCCCATCTCTCAGGAATCTGATTCAAACACACACAAAAGCAGCTCCCAGAGGGTGACGCTGGTGTAGGCAGCCCTGCTTGGTTTGCCTGCCGATTCCAGAAGGTTCCATGTGCCAACCCCACACCTGGGACCGCGTGCCAGCCCCTGCCACCCTCCCCCACCTCTGGGTACCACCTCATGCAGCCTTGTTGGGGCTCACAGACGAGCCTTCAGCTCTGAGGAAGGCTTTCCGTCTGTGGGCTGAGGGCTGAGCAGGGCTGCCACGCCCATGCTCTGGCTCGGGGCGAGCTGGAACTCCAGTGCCGGACTATGCAACGTCCTAAGGGACGGGGCCTCACCAGCCACACACCTGGCCCAGCAGCCGAGGGGCCGGACACCACACAGTGAGAACCCCAGGCACCTCCCAGCGGAGGGCCACCCTGCTTGGGAAGCCCAACTGGGAAGCCAAGTGCGGCTTCATCCCAGAAGCCACCGCACACTCGTAAGGACAGCACCACGAGGAGCTGGCAGGGCAGCCTGGCACGCGGGAACCTGCCCACACGGCTCCCGGGTTTCCCAGACACTTAGAGCCGGTGCTCCGCCCCCACGTGCACGTGCGCAGGGGTGGGGCCTGCCCGGCTGCCCCCGGAAGGAGGGAGGAAGGAGAAGAGGAAGGGAGGAAGAGAGCGAGGGGAAACAGCACGGCAGGAGCCAGGCCCAGGCAGAGGCCCAGGCAGAGGTCCATGGGCAGGAAGGGCGGGAGGGCCCTTGGCCCGGCTGCCCACAGACACAGGCCAAAGAAGGGCCCGGCGGGGGCACTAAGCGGGGTGCCCACTCACCTTCCGCTCCAGGAACGACGCAATCAGGCCGAAGTTCTTGGGGTGCTGCATGAACCTGCGGGGTGAGGGGGGCAGGCGTGAGGCCAGGCCAAGGGGGGCACCCCTGCCTGCCGGCCGTGCTCACAGGCGCCTGCCATCGCGCGGCCCCAGAGGCACCGCCCGTCGCCCGTCGGAGCAATTAGACCAGGGGTGTGGGAAGCGGCGGGAGGAGCGCCGGGCAGGGAGGGCGTTCCTGCGTGAGTCACCAGCTGCAGCGGCTTTGAAAATGGATTTGTTTGTCCTGCTGGAGGCGGCTTCCAGGAAAAATGAGGACATTCCAAAGAGCTCTTCGGCGGGTCCCCCCTTGGCAAGACCGGCTTTGTGTTTTTCTGCACTGGGCCGGGCTGGGAAGCCAAGCCTTGCCCGTCCCCCAGGACCCGCCTGCGGACACAGCAGGGCCGCCAACGGGGTCATGGCCTCCGAAGCTGCCGGCCTCCCTGGTGGTGGAAGAGAGCGGTGGAGGAGCCGGCCAGCCGGGAAGGCAACAGGAATGGACTTAGGCTGGAGAGTGGTGGCGGCCACTGGCGCCTCGCCAGCCAGCTTCCTGTGAAGTGGAGGATTACCAGGAAACCGCCCACTGGGCTGAAATGTCAGGGCCCGGGGAGCTGGCAGGGGCAGAGAAGCAGACCACAGCCTGCCTAGGGTGCTGGCTGAGTCACCGGCCACGGTCCAGCTCCAGCTGGCCGCCCATCCCACGACCGGGCTCCCACTTCGGGCAAGACTGGTCAAGTGTCCACACCCGACCCTGCCTGGGCCTCCAGATGGCTAGGCAGGAGGCCAGGGGACCCGTGCCCCACTCCCCAGTGAGACGCTGGCAACTCCTAAGTCTCTTCTCTCCAGAGGAAGAGGGGATGCCCAGGAAAGCTGGCTTCCTCGCCCAGCGTCCTGCCGTGGCAGCGTGCAGACCTGGGACCTTCAACAGCCCTCTTTTCCAGAAATAAAGAACCCCTTCCTTCCCCTCCTTCTCCTTGTCCCAGGCAGAGAACAGGTCCCAAAGCGGAGGGTCACCACTTGGACATCTCTCCAACTCTCACCTGCACACCCCCCCCCCCCACACAAATCCTCACCTGCACAGCCCCCAGACACTCACCTGCACACCCTCCCAAGACCCTTACCTGTACACCCCCTCAGATCCTCACCTGTACACCCCTCCATAACCCTTAGTGTGCACCTCACAACAGCTGAACTAGGGAGGCGCTATCCTGACACCCATTTTACAGGTGGGTAAATGAAGGGCTCGGAGAGCAGTGCTTAAGGGCACACAGCTAAGTGGTGAGCTCTATGCCACTGTCACGTGACTTTCAAATGTCCCCTGTGCTACTGTTCCCTCTGATGATGAGCTCTAAGCAAGACCACCACCTTGAAAGGCACACTGTGCCCCGTGCCTCTCCAGGGCCAGTCAGGCCCACCTGCAGGCCAGCAGCTCAGCCGGGGGTGCAGTTACCAGCTCCAGAAACCACAGTGTCACTGTCAGGTCTATACTGGAAAGCTCCAGAAACCACAGAAGGCATCTCAAAGCAAATCTCTCTTTTTGAAGAAAACATCAATAAAAATATCCCAAATGCCGGGGGTGTTAAGAATGGCCCAATGCAGTGGTGACTCTTAGCCTCGGTGACTATCCTGTAGTCACTTTACGAGTCTGGCATCTTGAACAGTCACAGGCAGGACTCAACTCAGTGGCAAAACAGCCGTGTCTGCTCCCGTGCGGACGCAGCAGGAGCGTGGGGAGCGGGGCCGCCGTGTTTCCAGGTAACGAGGCCCCGGGCACGCCTGAGCTGGGCCCAGCTCCCTGAGAGGCCTTTTCAGAGACATGCCGTATCCTCCCTCAAGGTTTGGGTGTTTTCACAATAAAAAAAAAAAGTTCTAAAAAGTGTTATTTTCCACTGCAGACCCTCCCACCTGGAGGGCCCGCTGCCCTTCATACCAGCTCCTAGGCCTGGGGTCCGTACCGTCAGACCTGCCCCAGACTTATCCATGACCCAGAAGGCCCTGCTGTGGATTGAATGGCAGCCCCCCAAAGTCTGCCCATGCCCCATCCGTAGACCCTCTGTGGACGGGACTGGGTTTGGAAACAGGGTCTCTGAAGATGTGCTCAACTGGCCTGAGGGCATGCTAGACCAGGGCGGGCCCCGGTCCAGTACGAATGCCCTCCTAATGAAAGAGGACAGACCCACACAGACACACAGACAGAACAGCCACGGGAAGAGGCATCCACAAGCCACGCAGCACCTGGGCCACCGAAGCTGGGAGGTCAAGGACCCTCCCTGAGAGACTTCAGAGAGCAGGCGGCCCTGCCGACGCCCTGGTCTTGGGCATCCAGCCCCCAGGGCTCTGAGAGAGCATCTTCCTGCTCTTACAAGCGCCACCACACGGGGTATCTGTACGACAGCCCTCAGACACTAAGCCCCCTCCGTTTCTCCCAGTGCCACGTGTCCATCCGCTGGGCCACCCCCACAGAAAGGGCAGTGAAAGCCCCGGCCCTGAGGCTTTGGACCCCACAAGCAACGCTTAGAGAACAGTCCTCCCTTCTGACAAACACCTCCGACACCAAGGCCGGGGGGCGGGCAGCAGGGCAGCAGTGCTGGGACAGTGTCGGGTGGGGGCAGGAGCTGGTGCCAGCACCCTAAGCCAGGCACTGGTGCTTGTCTGGCCTCAGCCCCCCACCCTCCCGCTGCATGGGTTCTCTATGCACACGTCGGGTAGCCACAGTAGTAGCACACCTGCCCCCAAAGGAGGGGCGACATGGCAGGACCAGCCTATAGGAACCAGTTCACATGCATAGCTGTGACGTTGGCCTGGGCAACATTTCGTCCTGGCGTCCAGGAGTTGCCGTGAGTCAGAGCTGACTTGACAGCAACTAGTAGCAAATCTCCTCTGGGACCCCCAACTAGAAAGGGAGAGCTAGAAATCACATCCCTTCTCCGCCCACAGCTCCCCATTTGTCTCCCCAACAGCCCAATTATTCTGCTTTTTCATTCAGGAGCCTGCCAAGGCTTTGCCTCTTAAGCCCCAACTCCTGGCTCTGCTCCGCAGGGCCCACCGCTCCCCGGCACCTTCCCACACCCCCCCCCCATTACCCTCCTCGTTCTGGCCAGGTCCGCACTGGGGGGGATGTGAATTGTGCCTCCACCAACCGCAAGCTGTGCGTCCCTGGTGAAGTCTCTCTACCTCTCTGGGCCTCTGTGTTCCTACCTGTGTGATGGGGACAACCTGGCTGGCTGTTGTGAGGGACAAGAGGGACACAGGCCACAGACGGCACCGCGCACAGGGCCTGACTCGTGGGCCGTGCTCAGCAAGCAGCCACCTGCAGAGTGAAGTGAGCACCACAACCCCAGCACCCAGGCTCCTAACCGAGGCACAGCCCAGCCCCGTGACCGCCAGCCCTCACAGCGTCCGCCGCCTGGCTTTGTGTAAAGCTGCCTTCAGACCTCAACCGAGGAGGCAGGAGGGGCTCAGGGGTAGAACCGTCACTTGCCACGGGGGAGACCTGGCTTCGATTCCCGGCCAGTGTCCCTCCTGTGCAGCCCCCACCCGTCCATCAGCGGGGGCGCGCGTGTGGCTCTGATGCCGAACGGGGGTCAGCAGAGCTTCCAGAAGATGACACACTAGGAGTAAAGGGCTGGCGGTGTGCTTCTGAGTCCCAGCCACTGATACCCTGTGGGTCACAACGGTCCGGCCTGCAAGCCCCCTGGAGACGGCGCAGGCCCAGGCGGCATCTTGCTGTGAGCCACGGCTGACTGGACGGGACCTCACCACCAGCCCAGGCCTCCGCGCGCCAAGCACCGGCACTTACTTCTCACGGAAGGTCTCCTTCTCTTGCTCGCTCCACATGTTCATGACCTGGCGGTCCTTGTACACCTTCATGGGGTCGCCCATGAGCCCGTTCATGTTGATGAACTTGATGCGCTGCTGGTCGGCGTCGTACAGCATGGGCGGGATCACAGCCAGCTGCCGCATCTGCTTCTCCAGGTTCTGCAGGGGGAGCAGCAGGGGGTCAGGCAGGGCCAGAGGACGCAGGGGGAGAGCCGGCACCCAGGAGAGGCGCAGTGGAGGGTGGCGAGATCCCAGGGGAGGAGAACTACCTGAATGTAACAGCAGCTGCTGCCGGGGCGGCAGGGCAGCGGGGAGGGGCGCAAGCACCAGGAAGCACTGCCGGTGGCCCTTCCCCCCGGCCGGGCCGCGCTTGCGTGAGGACCACGCTCTGAGCATCTGGGGTCAGCGAGCAAGCCCCGGCAGCAGCAGCCCCACTGGCCCTCGGGGCACAGGAGAGCATCCCGCTCCCGGAGGCTGCAGGCTGAGGCTGTGCTTCCCCATCTTGGTGCTGTGGGAGCTCGTGGGCCCCACTAGTGCGTCCCGATGGCCATTCAGAGGCTTGGAGCCGGTGGGCCCCACTAGTGCGTCCCGATGGCCATTCAGAGGCTTGGAGCCGGTGGGCCCCACTAGTGCGTCCGGACGGCCATTCAGAGGCTTGGAGC